AGAGAGAGAGAGAGAGAGAGAGAGAGAGAGAGAGAGAGAGAAACTCGGGCTGAATTGAGATTTAGTAGCCAAAATGGAAATTGTGGAGATGAAAAGTGCTGATTAATAATTTCTAATGCAATTCTACAATATGCATTTTAAATGAATTTAGTACCATATTCACTATGTTTGCTGAATTTAGTAAATTAGTATTTGCTAGCAGAGCCTTCGCATCTAATTGTTGTTTATGTTTCAGGATTCCTGTAAGGTTTTATATTCCACAATAGTTCATTCAATAATAGGAAACTGGAAAACTGCATGTCGAAAATCATCATAAAACAATTCTAATTAGTGAGCTCACCACGTACACCACTTACGTATTAATTTGGACTTGATCAAAATTAAGGGCTGTACACATTTACAAGGAAGGAAGAAATAATATATAAATTCTATATCTTCAAATATCGAGCTCACTTACATGGTGTCAGTCCAAGATAGAGGTAAAATGTGGCATTCTTCTTGTCACGTTTGATAAGACATTGAATTGGAGATTCTCTAGGCCCGGGCTGCACAATAAACACATATAAGATTTAGACATGCACAACCGAGAATCTAAAATTTAGACATAAATGTGATTCACAATGTACGGCATTTGGATCTGACTAATGTTTCCTTGTGACGCATGAATTTTCGACCACATTCACATGCCTGACAGATATCGACACAAAATCAACATGCTCTTGAAGTAATTCGAATCACGTTCCGAAATATCAGACCAATGATCTTTCCGTTAGATATATCACATAATCTTCACGACAAGTGTTCTATACCATAAATCTCCATCAAAACTACAGCATCATAGCTTTAACTCAGACACTTTGACAGCCCCAATCTTAATTTAACCAAGAGATTCCCATTTATGCCATCAATAAGCTTTCCTGCAAAGGTCCTTGAATATATCTGCTTGGGACAACCAAACTCAAAATTTTTGCATCATAACTACATATAATAAACCCCAAATTCTCATACATCGTTGTGTGGAGACCAACATTTGAAGCTTTAATTTTTCAAGACAAAAGCAGGTTCAGTTAAATTTCAATCCATGTTAACACCAAAATTTTCAAATCACACCAAATTAAGACCAAAATTATGCAAATCAATCTAAGTCAAGTGAACAAGGCCCAACCTTTTTCAGAGAAGAAGGGAAGGTGATCTTCCCCGGATGGCGGACGGAAGCCCTCTCCACCGCATCCGCGGTGGCGTCCCTCCACCCACGGCAGACGCAGCCGCAGGCGACTACGCTCCGCCGCTGCGGCCATATTTCCTCGCTCGATTCGACCCTCTGTATGATATCTCCGAGAAGATCCGGAAGCATCCCCGCCCACGAACCGCCGGATCCGCCGCATGGCTGCTGATCGCCGTTCTCCTCCGCCGGCTGAATATCACCGTCGCCGGCGACGGACTCGAGCTCCTTGAGGGACTTCGACGAGAGTGCGAAGGAACGGTGGATGATCCTCCGCGAGAGGTAAGATCGTCGGAGCGACGACATAACGTCGATTACAATCTAGAGAGAGAGTGTGACCGGAAAAGAGAGATTTCTAGAGAGAGAAAAAACTGAAGAGAGAGAGATAAGCGCTGAATAAGAGAGAAGTGAATGGGGGGAGATAACATTACCAAACTGTCACTTGTGTATTCAATTGGTATTTGTGTATTTCTGGACTTTTTTAATTGAATTGTATATAAAATAAATTTAGTTTTGAAACCCTCAATATTTTTTTTTTCCATTATAAAATAATTTGTCAAAATTTATTACTCATTTTAATCGATTTTTTTCCATAAATATTATTAATATAATTAATAAATTTCACCCAATTATATACATAAAATTTCCAACAAAATTCACTATCGTTCATTCACATATTTCTATCTATCACGTATTACTTTATTATTTTTTATATCACATTATTTTTGTTGTCACAATTTTAATTCATATACACTTTACCATAGTTTTTTGACCCAGACCGGCCCGACGGGTCGACTCGGGACCCGATCAACCCAGAGTCAGAACCGGTCTGGATGAGTTATTTGGACCGGGCAACAAAGGACCTGGTCAAACCCAATCAAAACCGGCCAACTCGGCCTTCACCCGGCTGACCTGGGCATTAACCTTGCCCATATATATATATTTCTTTTATTTATTTTTTTTTAAAACTATGTATATATTTTTATATGAGAAATATTATCATAAGTTAGACATTATTAACACTTAAATGTACAAATTTTATACACAAAATATTTAATTTTATTACTTTTATCTATATTTATATGACAAAAATACTTTATATATAATTTTAAAAATTTTAAAATTAATTATTCGGTTCAGCAATTGACCCGGTGACCCGATGACCCGGAAACCGACTGGTCGATTACCGAGCCGAGTTTAAAAACTATGCATTGTACATCTCAAAATCAAATTTCTGTACACAAAATTTTATTTTAATCTTAACTCACTATGTTCAATAAATTAAAATTTACCCAAAATTTTTATATACAATCACACAAGTTTTAGGTCAACGAAAATATTATACAAAATTCCACACAATATTTCACCTCCATACCTAAAATTCATATGGAGCCTAAAATGAATATCTCTTTTTTTTTTTTTAACAATCTCTCTCTTTTTTAACGGATGAGGGGAGAGAAGTCAATGACGAGACACGTGTAAGATATTTGTTGGGGGTTATTCTGGGGTTTGTGACAGCCCTGTGAGGGTAGGAGTTAGTTGTGCAGGTTTTGCTTTAATGTCGTCCGTGTTTGACTAATTGACTGGGTTTCACGACGTCGGTTTGTATAGAATTTATATATTAAATATTAATTAAAATGATGGAATAATAGTCAAATAACCAAATCTAATGTTGCAGGTTGATTTGGTTTTCTTTGTTAATTAATCACTCTTTTGACTTTATTCGTTTGTTATTCGAGTTTATTCGTTTGTTAATCGAGTCGCGTTCGAACATAAAAATAGACTTGTTTAATAATCGAATAAACACGAGTCGTTCGCGAATGTTCGATAATATTCGTGCACATTAGTTTAATATAATTTTATTATTTTTGTATATTTACATAATATTTTTAATAAAAAATCTATAACGTATTTTATTTTTTTAAGGAGTTCAAAAGAACAGTTTTCAAGTTAATCAATCGTATTTAAAATGTTTGTTTTCTAAATTGTTCGAACACGAACGAACTCGACCTTTGACGAACAATCTCAAACATGATTTTTTGTTCAAAAAAATATACGAACGAACGCGAATAGTGTTCACATAAACGAACACGAACTCAAAATCCCCAAACTCAGTCATTCAGTTCCATTACAGCACTAGATATAACTTATAAGTACATTTTCACTCATTTTGGTAAACTTAAATCAAATTCAACCAAAAGCAATGTATAATCAACATTATGAAGTAAAAAATAGTCTAACTAGACACTAAGCTCAAACCCAAAAGTAGTTTTTCACCTTCTCTCATTTCTAAATTACTTTTAATATTAAACGTCTATATATAAATGCAGAATGTACAAATCCTACGTGTTTAACAACTTTTAAATTTGTTTTCATTTTTTCATATATAATTACTCAAAATATATCTAATTAATCAACTTTTAAAGATATTCTTTTTTTATATCTAAATTTTGTATATAAAATAAATATTATTTTTCTTATTACAAAATTAAATTATTTATTAATACTAATTAAAAATTAGTAAATTTATATATCAATTAAAAAATATTATCTACAAATTCATTACGTAAGAATTAAAAAAATAATTACAATATAAGGGGGCAAATCATACAAGTGAAAAGTCTCATTTTAAATATAAACTAGTCGAGTCCGAGTTTGTTTAGTTAACGAACCAAGTTTGCCTCATTAAGGCTCATTAGGCTTGAAATATAGGTTCTAACATAATTTTTTTAAACTTTTAGCGCAATTTAATTATTATTAACTCTTTACAAGCGAACTCGAGCTCGCTTATCAACTCATTAACTTTATGAGTGCTCGGCTCGATAAGGGCTCGAGCTCGGCTATTAAGACACATTATATCATACGAGAACATACCCATTAAAATAGGGCAATTTATTTATGAACCAAGAAGGAGTGACATTTTCATTGAAATTACTATTGTTTTCTAAAACGACTTGATGTAAATATAACTAAATATAGAAAATGTACTAAAATAATTAATCAACATGCCTTTCATGTTTCTCTTTCATACGGTATATATATATATATGTACATGGAAAAGGTGGGGGCGTAAGGAAGGAGCTTTTAATATTAAAATAGATAATTTGAAATTAATACAAGTGAAGAAAGAGAATATCTCTATATCTTAACTTTCTTTATTATATTTATTATCTTGTTATATATATTTGGGAGTCTTCTTTAAAAATCTCCAACTCTCTTTTCAAGTTCCAAGTCAGTCCCTCCCCATATTTTTTTTTATTTTAACTACCTACCCCCTAATCATCTTCCATTTAAGTCCCTCCTATTAAAAAAAATGACAAAGAAATTTATATATAACATCATCCCACTATCTACATTATTAAATTATTTTTACTACCCACTATCTACATTATTAAATTATTTTTACTACCCACTATCTACATTATTAAATTATTTTTGCTACCTAAAATACATCTTTCTCACTCTTCTTCCTCATTACTTCTTCTTTCCCGCTTTCTTCTTCTTCAGCAGCGCCGGTGTGTAATTTTTTTTTTTTCGCAGCTTCATCTCGGCGTCGAATACAAACCGGACCCTGGGGCTTTTTCCGAAGGCAACAAATCCGGCGATATTAGAAATTTTTCCAGCCGAAAATCTCTGTTTCTCGGGCCAAAAATTGGTATCTCTCAGTCCGAAAATTCTTATTTTTCCGGCAAGATTGTGACTTTTTCCGGCGAAAACTTGAAGTAGTAAGTAATGTATGTATTACATGAGAATTTTGGAGTTCAAAAATCATCTTTAATTCATATATGTGAAGGATTGAATGTTGAATATTGTTGTTTATATTTACCCTAAAATAAATAAAGTGATCATAATCATTTTTTTTTTCATGTATACTAAATTTATGCTATTGTTAGGTTATATTAGGTGTTATTGACCATAAAACAAAAAAATAAGATGAGAATAATGATAGTGCCACTCTTCATGATTGTGTGTACCTCTGTTTGGATAGATAGTACCACTTTGCTCACTGTTGGTACCATATTTGCTGGAAAATGTGAAGAGTTTTTTTTTTTTTTTTTAAATCCAATTATTGTTACATACATGGAAGGGACACAAAGTGATAAATTAAGAAGTTGTACATAAAAAGATGAAATGTATGTGTTCTCTATAAATCTTGAATCAACTCTTGATGAAGTGTACTCTCTCATTGGTAAGAGATGGCCGATTCTTGGAGATATTGCATCAAAAGAGAGGAACAGATATTTAGGGGCGGCGCCGAGGAATTCCGAAAGAGTGTTAAAAACTACGCAATTGCAAATAAGCGCTCTTTTAAGTATCGGAAAAATGACAAGCAGAAGGTCATCGTTTGTTGTAGCGATGCGGATTGTGAATGGAGAGTATATGCATCGTTATACAAAGGGGATCACCAGTTTGCCACCCGGAAATGCAATCTCGTCCATACTTGTGTACTCATCTTCATTCCAAAGAGTGGGTAGTAAATGACACTTTATGTGTAATATTTTCTGTACAATATACTGGCATTTCATACTGCAATATAGGTAATAGTTTTGTGAAGTTTTAATCGGTGTATTACATTTTCATTCCAGAAAGCTGGTACTAATTGATCAATAACAGGTACTTCGTAGAAGAAAGAGCGTGATTATATTCGTCCAAACATGTACCAGCCAATGAGTTGAAGTGTATTAAGTAGTGTTTTTCCATTAGTGTGTTAAGTTCGTGACCAATTTGAGATTAAACTTAATTAACCAAGTATCAAATATCATAGAAACTAATGACAAAGTGATTATGGGTTGGTCTTCTTATTTGTTAATTACAAGTGGTACTAGGGACATTATATCTGGTACTATCGCACCATAAATTGGTACTGCATTACACTATGACTGGTACTACTTTTTGTAAATGTTGAGAAGAGTTGAAATAATCAATTTTTCTTCAAAAAAGTTGGTACTAATCTATCAATAACAGGAACTACGTATAAGAAAATGAGGTATTATTTTTGTAGAAACTGGTACCATTCAATGAGTTGAAGTGTATATTAAGGTGTTTTTCCATTAGTGTGTTGAGTTCGTGACTAATTTGCGATTGAACTTAATTAACCAAATATCAAATCTTATATAAACTAATGTCAGAGTGAATATAGGTCGTATAAACATCATTTGCAACCAAAATTTAAGTCTTCTTATGTGTTTATTACAAGTGGTACTAGGGACAGGATATCTGGTACTAACTCTTCATAATGTGGTACTGCCTCACTCTATGACTGGTACTACGTTTTGTAAATGTTGAGCAGAATTGAAATAATCAAA